TCCAAAGGGAGTGTCCCCACCTTCAGTCACTCACACCAACTTCAGGGTTTGGGTCACATTTACATGTGAAAGGTTGTTAATTCAATGATTTCTTTAATTCAACTAACTTCTTAAAAGTTAAATAACTAAGTTGGGCCAAGTAGTTAACTGCAAAATCTCTTGTTTGCTTTGCTATTTATGCTTTTCTATGGCACACTAAGACTCAGAAATGAATATGTAGCAGCAACTACATTATCTTGACTGTTACTGGATATTATGTTGTCCAACTCAAGAGGCTCTGTTTACAGTGCAGTCACACGCTGAGAGTCCTGAGTGGACATACATTACCCTTTTGGGAACCTTTAGTGTAGCTGCTCACCAAATTTTTCTTCTCCTTTTTGAGCGTCAACTGTATGATGTGTCTTTGGAACTCTGAGGTGGGTCACTTCTAGTAGGGACTTAAAAGGGAAGTTGGGCCTCCTCCTGTCTGTTCTCTCCTTCCACTGGCTTAATGCACATGTCCACAAAATCCTGAGGGCTGCAGAATCCCAAAACAAAAGGAGCTTGGCCCTTGAACTGCCATATGGAGGGACACTCACCATCTACCTGCCTTGTGATCTTCTGTGAGCAAAAAATAATTGCAGAGTGCATTTTGTTTTCCTTCACACTAGCTGATAACAACTTGGGTAATGTGAAGCCTCATGAGGCCAGGATTCTAGCTTGTGGCCATTTCTTCATTAAATGAAGTTGATTGTACGTGTCTATTCACAGGGTCATAGTCAGGAGCAAAATTAAAACGCATGTGAAAGTGTTTTACAAAAACAGAAACACAATGCAATTTCAAATATTGACTAATGATGAAAACAAAATGCAAATGTGTGTTCCATTTCTACAACTGAGTAGGAAGCATTTTATGTAACCTGGAGCCTAATTAGGGAAATCACCATTGAAAGGGAGGGTCTGACTGGTGGGGGGAAGGGAAAGGCTCAGCTTCCATAGAAAGGCAAGGAGCAAGCCTCCTTAGTCAGTTAAAACAGAAGATGGGCTACTGACGCTCCCAAAGGGAGTGAACCCCAGCCCACTGCCAAAAAGGTGCTGGGAGCACCAGACTTGGAACTTGTCATTTCCAAGACGTGAGTCATTCTCACAAGAGTGAAAAATTTCAAGGGGACTAAAACCCTCTGCCAGGGAGAAGCTTAAGTGTATGTTTCGCCTGTGTTTAAAATCACCACAGCCAGCAAAAGCACTGCCTGCCATTCTTTTCCATTATTCATATTTTCCTAGCTTTTATCAGCACACGTGGACATCAAGTGTTCACATAGCATCTGCTGGCCACAGCTGAAGAGGGAACACCCTCTTACATCATAGGCGTCTACAATATGTCCTTTTGAAGCCTGGGAAAAGTTGTGAGCTAACTGCAGCAATGTGGCTAGAATTGAGCCTTTATATTTCTGGAGGTTTCATGTTGTTGCCTGGGATGACACACACAGCATCTCAGGACAGGCTGAAGGGCAAAAGGGAGAGTTGAGAGTCTGACTGGGGGGATGCGGTGGTCTCACAGAGTGACACACGGGATGTGTTTCCTCATAATTTCCCCCTGGGCAGTTTCATAGATATGGGAACCATATGTGTAAGCCTTTCTGAGACAATTGCCAATTCAGATACTGTTTCATAAGAAACTCTTTTGGCCAGACACTCGCATTATTGTTAAATTGGAAAAGATGGCAATTTCAACCCCAGCTCATGAAAGCTTACTTATAGATAGAAAGATGACTTAGGAACCTACAGTCTATAAATATTTAAAATTTAAAACCTAGGGTTTTGTTTTGTTTGTTGTTGTTTGTTTTTGTTTTTCTCAACAACCAACTTAATTCTATTGGACTAGATACCAATTATTCATAGAATTCAAGGACAAACCAAGTATGAAAGAATGACTTGCTGTACCATAATGGAATTTCCACAAATTCACAGACATATTCACAGATATATTTTTTTACAGTGATGGTTGGCACTGCTGAATGAATGAGAGGATGCGACTTCATTCATCAACATCATCTTCAGCAACATTAATGTCAGCTAACATGTATTCATCATTTGTTCGGGTCTGGTAAGTTTTCCTTATTTTGTTGAGTAGCATGATCTCATCTCCTTAATAACTCTAAGTGGCAAGTATAATATTAGTTTCATGTTATATCTAACACATACAATATGATGAGGCTAACAGGACTCCTGAGCATTTCAGGAACTTGTCCACAGTCACAAAACCCAGAGCAGGGCCCTCTGGGAAGCAGGTCAGATGATAGGAGTATTCGCAAGTATTAATTGAATGGGTTTGAATGCTTGTGAAAAAATGGGAAGCATCATTTTGTTTCTAGCTCATAAAAAGCATCGTGTGAGGAAAGATTAGGACTTGGATCACTGTTTTCCTGCTATAATGAAAAATTAGTAATTGACACTTGCTGAGGAAGAGAGAAAAGAGTTGCCAATACTCAGACCTGGAATGAGAACTCCCAAAAGAAGCTGGTAATATCATTTTTACAGCAGTTCTGATGCTCTTAATGCCAGCAACCAAACTTCACCAGAAGGAAGGCACTCCTATTTCCATTGGCTGCATACATAAAGTACATAAATGTCTTGCTTTTAGTACATATGCCCTAAGAAAGGCTCTAGCGGTCATTAGGTATCAAAACCTCCCTCTTCCCCACCACCAGCCTTCTTATAGTAACCAGAAACTTACAAAGATTTAAGTCTAAATTCTGCCTTATAAGTTGTCTGACTTTAGACAAATCAGAATGAATCATGTGTCATTGGACAAATAGTCTCTCCAAACATCAAACGTTTAGATTCAGGTGTTACAGAGATTAATATTGTCACTATACTTAGCTGAATACCTGTTTGGAATCTGACTAAAGGTTGCAATATGGGCAAGTCTTTCAACATAGTCACCTGAGAAGAATAACTGCAGAGAGAAAATTCCTTTGGTATCCATTCTAAAAGGTTAATTTACTCATCAGCAAAGCGTGAATAATATTTTTATTTTTGTAGTTACAATAACTAGGTAAATTTGTTCACCATCCATTCATCCACCCATACCAGCAATTGAATTATGATATGCACTTAATAATTGCTTGTTGTCTTCATTATTATTGATGTTGTTAGTATTATCAATGTATTCAACGACTTAAAATTAAGTTATAAAGTGCATTTTTCTATCTTCCTTATTATATTCTAAAATTCACTGAATATATATCACTAAAACGCTAGTTGAAACAAAAAAAATAAGTAAAATAACAGGCTATAAAAATAATTGACAAAAATTAGCTGTATTCCTATATGCAAATAAGCTAGAAGACAGGGAAACCAAGAAAACAATCGCATTTATAATGCAAAGAGAAATAAATACTTGGAAGTAAACTTAACAAAGGAGGTGAAGGACCTATACCTTAAAACTGTGAGATATTGTTAACAGAAATAGAAGACACAGAGAAATAGAAATATGTTCCTGCTCATGAATTGGAAAAATTAGCACTATCACAATGGTCTGTTAGCCAAAGCATTATATAGCTGCAATTGAGTCTTCTGTCAAAGTTTTGGTGGCATTCTACAAACAAATAGAATAAACATTCCTGAAATTCATGCAGAATCACAAAGTTCCTAAATAGCCAAGGCAATCCTGACAAAAAGAAACAATTTTATCACATCCCAGACATCAACAACGCTATAGTAATCAAAACAATATGGTACAGACATACAGACCAATGGAATAGAATTGAGAATTTAAAAATAATCCCATGCCTATATGGACAATTAATCTACAACAAAGAAGCCAAGAATATACACTGAAGAAAGGAAAGTTTATTTTATAAATGG